GGGCAGGAGTTATGAGTTTCCGGTCAGACACACACACCGACACACACACACAAACACACCGACGAACCGACAGACACACTTAGCGAATTGCATATAGTAGGATGTTTGTGACCCCTCAAGGTGTTGTGTTTTTTCTACATTCAGGTATCACTTGCAACGGAACCAATCCGACCACCAAAATATGTCAATTGGCAGGAGGGGCCATGGAATTTGATAGTGGCATATCAACAGTTGTGAACAATAATAAAAACTATTAAGTTTCCGGGATTCATCAGGTTGGTTAGCCGAAGTGAAGGCGCTGTGCCAGTGAAGCTAACAAAGGAATGAGCTAGCCGTCAACGGTGCTGAGATCCTGAGATCCTGTGCAGATGATATTTCTCTCCATAAAAGGGAGCTCAGCAGAAAGGGAACCAATGGAACACAATATGTGGTGTCGCTTACGCTCTGTGCTGTATAAATTCGAAACAAAGTGGATGGTTAACCGTTCGGTTCTTTTTCTCCTCACGGCTGAAGGTAATTTCACTGTGGGTTATTAGACAGGATTAGAAGGGTAGAGAATGATTAAGCAAATTTCACATTCTTCATAGGAAAACATAGTACCTTGCCAGTAACGATCAAAGCCACAATGTCGAAGCATTCGTCCCATTAACCTACCCACCAACTTACTGCTTCATATACATAAGGAAGGAAATGTGGGATAAGCTCAAAGTCATCATATCGAAGCATTCGCTTCTCCAAGCACTCCATTCACCTACCCACCAATTCACTGCTTCACCGAAAGAAGGAAGTGTAGGATAGAGTTAGGTTCTCCGTATCACTACCTTTATCGTAATCATACTTCTCGGACGGACAGACATACAAACCGACAAACCGAAAAACCTACAAACCTACAAACCGACACACCAAGTTACTGCTTTATAAATATTATATATATATATATATATATAATATGCTATGTGTGTCTGTTGGTTTGCCGCTGTGTTTGTTTGTGTGTCTGTGTGTCGGTGTGTGTGTTTGACCAAAATTCATGACTCCTGTCCCCGTAGACCTACAGCGTTCAAACTCAATAGGAGTACTCGAGGGGAAGGATGGGAACCCTCATGGTGGGTGGCAGGACCGGATCCGCCTACTAGGGGCGAGGTGTGCGCAACAGAAATTTGGACTGCAGAATCATAACTCCTGATTACCTGGACCTATAGCGTTTAGACTTGGTAGGAGTACAGGCGACAGGATGTAGACTCCTATAGTGGGTGCAGGCCGGATTCCGCTCACAGGGTTGGGGTTTGCGCGAAGTAAATGATGGGGTGGATACTCATAAATCCTGTTCCCGTGAACCCATAGAGTTCAAATTTGGTAGAATTACAGCTTTTCGTACTAACAGAACTTGGACATTTTAATAAGTGATGTAGGATATAACGGCATAGTAGGTACTCGACGACAGTAACCGATGACCTTTTGGTATTTGCGATGCAGCTTTGACTTTTCAGTATGTTTCATTCGATAAGACGGAATAGTAGGGTAGGGTGACAAAAGTGAATGGTAAGTACAGTGATAGAGACCCATAAGTGGAGAGGCACTACGCTAACCAGGGAAGGATCCCAAGTCGAAGTGGTCATTTGGAATGAGAGCTACACTGCTAGATGTGTTTTTGGATGCTGAGTTCAGATCTGCACTCCAAATTTGCCGAGCGTTTCTCTGAACGGAGTTATGAGGGTGGTTTCAGGGAGCTTAACATGAGAAGACTTAAATTACATGAATGTTGTTCACCTCTCAACGGGTGCTTGGTGTAGTGGTAAGCGTGACGCTTTATAGGCGAGAGGCTAGGGATCAGGTTTTGTGGGGGACGGAATTTTTGCATTATATATAATTTTTCCCTTATGGACCAGAAAATACTCTTATATTGGGATTATCACGTTTCAGGACCTTTTAACACCTTTGCTGATACCTTCTCCTACCTACCTACCTGTTACCGTGCGGGAGATTCCTCCGTGCGCAAAATTTGGAGGTCCGGGAGGGAAAATGCATATGATGAGCAATGATGATGCTAGAGTGGGTGTTGATGCTAGATTGGGTGCGATAGTATTGGGTTGTAACATAAGTTCTTAGAGTTTTTTCGCAGAGATTTATTTTAACAAAAAACGATAATTATAATAATAAATTAATCAATGATGTATCCTCCTGTTACTGTTTGCGACCTCCTCCAATCTCTCGACCAATTTGTTGATGCCGTTTCGCCAAAAATCGGCCGGTCTGGTGTCGAAGAAGTTGTTGAGCCAGTTTTCAAGAACCTCTTCGCCATCGAAGGTAACACTCCTCATTTGGTTTGACAGAGAGCGGAAAGGTGGTAGTCGGTAGGTGCAAGATCCGGAGAGTACGGTGGATGCTGAAGAACCTCTCATTCAAGCTTTTGAAGTGGTGTTTTGACGACTTGGGCATTATGGTGCCTGGCGCTGTCGTGGAGCAAGATGACTTCACCTTGTCTATCCGGTCTTTTCAGCCGTATAGCCATACTAACACGGTTAAGCTAGGCAATGTAGACCTCCTTATTGACAGTAGCATTTCGCTCGTGCATTTCCCAGTGCACCGTGCCTTTCCAGTCTCACCAAACGCAAATCATGACCTATTTTAAGTGAAGGTCTTGCTTGACTCTCGGCTTCGGTGCCTCTCCTGGGGCCACCCAGAGACACACCTAGGACACCTTCCTCGTACACACTGCATATGTCCCGAGCGGCTTCGGCTGCTTATTGACCTCGATGAAAAGCAGTTGTCGAAAATGCTGATTTTCTCCTCCTGGATATTCCAATTCTGAGCCAGAAAAAAGACGTACAACTAGATTATCCAAAAAAACGAAACTATTTCATAGAGGAGAACGAGCTCTTTCGAATGAATATATACACTCCGCCAAAAAACAAAGCGAATCGTTGTAAAATGACCCTAACACAAAACCCTACGAATTTATGTTACAACCCAATACATAGCAGCTCCGGACTCACCAACACCGGCGGTGGTAATAGTGGACTCGAAGATCAGAAAGCTATCACCTTAACTCCACAAAAGCAGGTGAAGGAATCGACACCCTCCTCGAGGCTACCACGAGGCTATTGCAGCCCGATAGAAGCTAATTTCTCATTTCCTTTTGAAAATATGGTTAAACTACCACCTCATATGAAATAGCTCATAATCTCAACTTTTGCGTGTACACACGAGAACCCATTCCTCGCTCACTGGCGCTTTTCCACTTTCAGTTCTGTCCGGCTAGATTCAGGAAATTTCTCATATATTTATGGTACGCCGCCGGCTACTTAA